TGAGACTGCCCAGCATGAAGGCAGACCTGAGACTGCCCAGCATGAAGGTAGACCTGAGACTGTTCAGCATGGAGGTAGACCTAAGGCTGTCCAGCATGAACGTAGACCAGTCTCCTGCATTTCTTCACCCAGCATCTCTGGTCTGTTGGGTGGAGTCAATTTACAGCTATAGCATCTATTAATCTGGGAGAAAATCAAGGGAACAATTGAGACCAAATCTTGTCTCATTTAAGAGGTGGATGCCCACTCCACATGAGTCCCTTTGTCCTTAAAGGCTGTGCATCTTCTTCCCAGCTTCTTACTACAGCTCTCTCTCTCTTTCTCTCTCTCTCCCCATGGCAGACAGGTGCTTCCTCCCCAGAATTCTCTTCTTTTTCTGCTCTCTTTCCTTAATCTGAAAGCATGTGCAACGTCTCCAGGGGACCTTACTGGTGAGGAAATAATGTTTAGGTTTTCCATGAGGGAATGCTGGGATGCTGAGAAGTTTATCTGTTTACTCTAGAGCGAGGGAAACAACTGGCCAAGGCTTCCATCCCGATGGATCAGGGAGTTTACTGGAGTCCCTTACAGGAATGCGTGTGACTCCAGTAGCTGCATTACCCATTGGTTCTATCCCAACCCAGACAGTAACTTAAGAAAGCTACACGGCTGGAGATTCGTGCACAGCTTGCACATGGCCCCGCCACCAATGCGTCTCCGCTACCCAGAAGTGGTGTAGTACTTACGTGAGCTCACCCAGGGCCCTCGTGAGTCCTGCAAGTCCCTGTGCATTTCATGGGGTTTGGAACCCCTCGCTGTCAGAATGAGGAAACGTTCACACTGATATATTTCTGCATAGGGTCCTCAGAAGGAAACTAAAACACAGCAGGTGAGACATCTTTGGCCTTTCCTGGACGCTCCAGGACCCCAGTTGATGGGGCAGAGACTGAGTCTTTACACTGTGTATTAGAATCGGTCCTTGAAAGTCAAAAGTGGCCACCCATTGTGACTGACAGCCGAAAGAGCAGAGAAGGAAGACCATTGTCCTTAGGACCAGCTTGTCCATAGCTGTGTGACCCAAAGGAGGTCAGTGGTCTCCTAGAGATTCTTAGAAAAATACTAAAGGGATCCCAGCAAACAGGGTGACCATGATGAAAAAGTTTGCCAAACACTAACGAAAGGCAGTGTATGGTCCATTCATTGAAGGGTAAAGCGAGACACTTCGAGATGACAGCTGAGCACCATCCAGAATGTGGCCTTCGAAGGAACTGCTGGGGAAAGGTTACTAAGGGGGCATGCCTTTGCCTTGCTGACAGCCTTCAGTTGTCAGGTTTCCTGTCTGGCTTTACAGAGGGAGTGCTAGAGACAGATCCCCACACAGCTGAGCATGCCCCCTGTGTTCTGAAGGGAGATGGATGTGTGAGCTGCAACCAATCAACCAGAACAGAGACCAAAGATAGAGGCAACGGAGAGCCCCCAAATGCCGCCCCTCCCCTGCCACCCATTACTCTCTAAATCCCCACACAGGAGGGTGCAAGATTCACAGTTGGCATCAAACCGTGATGGGTCTGTCAGTCCAAGTAAGAGCCAGGAAAAACAAAAGAACAAAATTGATGAAATAAATAACGGAAATAACATGTCACCTAGTATTAGAAAGATACATCTTCATCTGGAAGTCACAGAAATTTACTGCCCTCTCGGCATGCGCTGCCGCATAACCATATATTACCACATGCTTTACTGACGTGTCTTCTGACTGTCACCGTCGTTGGCATGCATAAAACTTGTGCCCACGTTTTGATGAGGCGCTGCCTCAAATCCCTGCCAGAAGAAGAGCAGAGATCAATCAAAACACGAATGAAATATGTAGGAGCTGCTGCTGAGCTTTGAGGGCTGGAGAAGCAAGCAAGGCCAGGCTTGGGGCCTAAAGGTGAGGAAAACAGAGTAAGCGAGGATGAACCGTGCTGGACCATCTCCTCACAGGCAGACACTGAGGACGAACCGGAGCACGTACACTTAGTGAGGGCCTAGCTTCAATATTCAGAGCAATTTCAAATAAGACGGTCACTACTCATATTTTTAAGATGAGAAATTTGAGACTCAGAGCACAAGACTTGGGGTACACTGTTCTCCCTGTGTAACCAAGCGGTATCAGGCTAAATGGCTTCAAGCCGCAGAACTGCTTCTGTCACAGTCCTGGGGACCACAGTGTGAACACATTCCCACCAGACAATAGCATAATGCTCTGAACCTCACCTGACTTCCCAGAACCCCTAAAAATTTGGCTTTTAACCCCATAACTTTACCCTGTTTGGGCCATGTGGCTTCTCCCAGAGTCTGTCTTCACATAGCTTCCTTCCTATAAGGATACAGCCAGATAGGATTAGGGCCCAGCCCACTTCAGGGTATCTGCCTCTTAGCTCTACCAGTAACACCCACAGCATGTGGATTTCCAGGTGTGGCTGCCTAGAGACAGGGGTTATGGCATCAACGTGTCTGTATTGAAATGACTCCACCTGCCCACAGACCACAGTCTGGTCCCAGGTTTCCAGTTACACACGACTGGATGTCCAGAGGCTGAACTCAGGTTCTGGTTGTGTGACTCTCAGGGGTAGGTGAGAGAGGAAAAAGGCTCGTGAGAATAGAACGCAGAAGTGAGCTAGGATTTCACATGCTGGCCAGGCCCTCCCATTGGCTGCCCCATATTTGGTGGTCGCTTATCTTGAGGGGCACCATTTCCCACCTCTGGCTTATTCAAGAGAAATGCTTTGTGGTACCAATAAACCGTTGAAGCTCATCTCTGCACACCTCACTGGAGTCTAGCTTGCCTCCTGTCCAGGAGCACTGCTCCAACCTTCTAGGATGCAGACGTTCCTCAAGGCTTCTTTCTCTTCTTTCTCCTGAGACCGCTATTCTTTCCATGCAAACCCCAGGGGGTAATGGCCACTGTGAGCTTCCTGAGACACGGGCAGGAGCTTTTGAGCCCCTCTTTCTGTCCTGTCTGTTGGTCTCCATTCACAGACTGACCGAGGCTGGAGATGCATAGGAAGGACACTGATGATGGCAGTGCTGGCTGATGTCTATATTGTCAGTTTGGTCGAACAGATCAACACCTGGGGTGTTTGGGCCCGTCTGTGATGGATTTTATGGGGAAGTTAATGGAGAGATGAGTCCTGACGTTAGCATCCTACATGCTAGGTTTGTAGGATGAATAAACTTCTTTAAAAATTGTATTTTTATGTCGCTGCTGTCAATCAAATCTTTCTGCTTCCTGGTCTGCTGAAGCACAAACAAATACTGGCTTCCTGTTTCTGCTACCATGGACTCACCCACCACCCTGCCTTCACCACGATGAACCATACCACCTAAACCTAGAGCCAAAATTAATCCATCAACCCCTTCAAGATGTTACCAGGTATTCCGTCCCAGCCACCAAATAACTTATTAATATGTTGACAGCAATGGTAGAGGAGCAGCATTCTGTTACAGATGGAAGTGAACAAGGTGGTTACTACAAACTGTAAGACCTCAGACTCCCGGCAGGACACATTTTCCATCTCAAGGAGCCTGGTGTGACAACAAGGAGGCTCTTCCTGCCACCACTGCACCAGCTGTCTGCTGTGAACGGCAGCATCCTTCATCATTTGCATGAGACAAAGCTGGGTATACCAAGAGAGGTGAAGCCACCCAGGGATCCACACAGGCTGAGTCCCAAAGGGCCAGAGGTCTGCTTTCTCCAGGTGAAACCATGCCTTGGGCAGATGCTGGTTTTGTGAATTGGTGTTCCTAGAGTCTGGGACTGTAGATTCTCTGACCATGTGTGATAGGCAGTTATTTTGAGCTATTAAATATTCATTATTAAATATTTAATATTTACCAGGGTTGTTTCTTTCATACAAACTAATTATGCAAAGACCTTTTATTGCCAGGAACTATATGCTGGTGAAGCTAATTAGCATCACAATAACTGCCCCTTGTGTAAGTAGGGCCACGGAAGAGCAGGATAAATATTTAATTGAATGTGGTTTGTGAGCTCACCCTGATTATGCAGTGAGCTCAGCCCAAGGACCCCAGCCGCTTCTCACAAAGAATGAGTGACACAGACCCCTCACTAGGGCACCACAAGACGGCGAGGCACTTTTCAGTGGTGTCCGCTATGAACTGAACTGTACACACCAACGTCCTAAGTCCTTGTACCAGACTCCGCCAATGCCGGTGGAGGAGAAGGATGTGTGAAGAGAGAAGGGATGGGAATGAGGCCTCACCAGCCAGGAAACAACCAGAGACCAGTGGGGAAAACACAGAAAGAGTCAGCCAGTCGACCCCTTGAGGATGCCTTGCTCTGGTCTTTGCTTCCAGAGTTACTCTGCGCTAAGTATCTTCCTCTCACACTGCCGTCCTGGGATGCTTTGTGTGGTACCCACCAAGCCGGTGGCCAAAGCTGCAGACTGGAAACTCTTGCTTTGTCTGGATTAATCTCTTGAGCCCTTCGGCGCCTCCTCGCTCCACATTCAACCCCAGGACCGGGCCTGCCGAGGGGCCCTGCTATGGCCTTCTCATTGCCTGTGACTTTCTGCTTTCACCTGGACTGTAAACAGACATTAAAGCAACAACCTCGTAGAATGTTAGGAAGACCCCAAGATTTGTGGTTGTGTTAAGGTTTTATGGCCTGCTCTGAGAGAAATAAAGATGAAAGGACAAAGGAAAACCTATAAATGTTTGGCGTGGGTTGTAGTGTGTTGAAATAAGACAGAAAGAAAAAGGAAGGAAGGAAAAAAAGAAAGAAAGAAAGAGAGAGGGGGTGGAAGGGAGGAAGAGAGGGAAGGCAGGAGGAAGGGAGATACAAACGCACAAAGAAACACATGTGTTTATCTGTTCTCTCTGCAAGCATATTGTTGGCATGTGCTCTTGACCAGACACCGCAAGAGACTGAAAATAGAGAGAGAGAAAAAAATCCAAGTTAGGTCTGATTTTTTCTTTTAATCACTTTCATCCCTTAGCAATTTACATAGCTCTGCCGCCCCTTGGTGGGTTCTGCGTGGCCTGACATAGGCCCACCCCACCTGCCCACCCTCAAAATAAAAAGCATACAAGAGAGCCGGCGTGAGGCTTGGCAAAAGAAGGCTTGCCTCACAAATGCAAGGCCCTGGGTTCAATCCCCTAGTACTACGAAACAAACAAACAATACACAGGTCATGCCAGTGCTTTGACCTCAGACTTACAGAGTAGATTTTAGGCGCTCTCAGAACAACAGCAAAACCCCAAATATGTGTGGGTGATAACAACATCTGCTAATCCAGTGTACTGGGGGCATTCATTCCACAATATACTTATTTTGAAGCTGCTTTCTCTAATAATATACACTGGATGCAGAATGGATGAGTGACAGGCAAGACCTCTGTGCTCGCAGGTGGGTCTGTCCTGTGCAGCTAATGTTTTGGAATAAAAGGCAGGTTGATTTTTTTTTCTGTTGCTGTTGTTTCTGAAAATGACTGTAATTTCAATAAACCTCTAAAATGCCATCTTACCGCCAGTGAGCTCCTCTAGTGACAGATGACAGACGCCACTGGCTGGCAAAGGCTCCGCGCCACTTAGGCAGGTTGCTGTTTGCTCTACCCAGACTCTCTTGTGCCCTGATTTCTAACTGTCTTGGCCCAGGGTATTATGTTTTTGTCTCCATCCGGGCTGTAAGTGAAGTAAAAAGAGTAGAAAATGCCAGAATGTGTTGGTGACAGCAGAGGCAGAAGCAAAAATAGAAAAATCCATTCAAAGCCTGTGGGTCACCAGTCCCAGCCTTCCCAAAGTAGAACACGCGGAAGCGGGAGACTCTGATAAAGCCTGGGCCTCCCTGAGGGCAGCAGGCAGGGCATCTATGCCATCCTGTCCCAGCCTGGGCAGCTTTGTGCCTTCCCAGCACAACCAGATTCATTGTGTCCCTGTTTGTTACTGTTGCAGCCTCTTTATGCCCAGGGGGACTCGCTGGGTGATGATCCTGCTATCTTGTGGGGCACGGGGGCTCCTATCTCCTTCTCACACCTGAACCTAAAGGAGAAAGAGCTGAGGCCACACTTGGCAATGCCGGCCTCAAAGGATTTCCCATTCCTGGTCCCTTCCAAATCTAAAAGAAAAGATAGCTGGCTTTGTCTCTTTGCTCCATCCAGGGAGCCCGTGTCCCTCCCAGGCTGGGCCTGAGCAGAAGAGGGGCTTGCCTTGTCCATTTGAGTCAGGCCCAAGTGTTGCTTGGGCTTGCAAACCCGAGGCACAAAACTTCAGCTGTGGTTGCTTTCTCATTAGGGAAAACCCTCTTTCCGTTACCACAGAGAAGCCTCCCTGGTGAATGTAGCACAGATAAAAGCAGACCCAGAGTGCCAGGCATGTTCTTATTCATGTGCCTCAAAACTGGGGTCAGTCCAGCAAGGTGGCAAAGGAAGGGCCGGCACTCTGCCCTGCACCCGGAGCCCTGTTGTTATTGCCTCAAATCTTCCTCCCTCTTCACGGTTTCTGTCACCACTTTGTTTACATCCTAACCTCACCATCTTGCAAAACTAACTTCTGGAACAATGAAGTGTTTCACTTTCGCGCCCTCTTCCATCTCCTGGTTTCAGCTGATGATTTCCCAGATTTTGCCTATGGCACAGAACAAGGAAGAAAGAAGAAAACTCACGTGGCTCAGGGTGCCTGTTCTGGGCTACGTGCATTTACTTCTTGGTGTCACCAGGTCATGCCCATTCCAAGGGCAGTTCCAGTCACCAGAGTTGTCCAAAGGCAGGCTTTGGTGGGCATGAGCTGTTCCAGCCCATACCCCATTTCCCTCCTTCTCCCACACAGAATGCCTTCAGTAAGGACAGAAGAAACCACACAACCAAATTCCGAGCATCTTCATCCCAGGCTTGCCAGGACAAGACTATTGACATCCCCCAGATGGGAGGCCTGTGTAGGGAAGGGAGCAAGGATTAGAGGAACATCACAAGCGAAGAAAGTCTGGGGGACATGCATAGATCCCTGGATCCAGTGCTACCCGATTTCACATTCCCCCTACAGAAGAGGGGTGAGTGATGAACAGATCCCCTCCAGGGGAGGTGGGTCTGTCTGGCACATCTTCCGCAGAGGTCCACAGGCCTCTTACCTGTGCAGTGTTTCTGCAAGCCAGCCTAGACCTCCACAGAGGGGAGCCCCAGACAACTCTTGAACTTCTTCACTTTCCCCAGGACAGTTGTATTCACCTGTCTGTGGGGTGGGGGTTGCCTTGGGCAGCTAGCACACCAATGACTGCCATACATATGATAGGAATGGCAAAGAGCTGGCATGCTAATCAGTGCACACTCATATTTTACTAAGAAGATTCCAGAAATGGCGCCACAAAGGCAGTTGTGCAGGGCACAGAAACCATGCGTCTATGAGGACACAGGGACTGTGTGTTGAAGCAAATATGCCCCGTGTCCTTAGCGCTCTCTCTATGCCAGATTATGTTCTGGATTTTATATTGCTTTGAAACGGTATGCTTTCAATCTTATCACCCCAGGAAATTCTGTATTATGATGAATTTTCCAAGTCCATTAGCTGTTGGTGCTTCATCAGACTCTTTTTTCTTGCTGAAAAGAAAGACCTGAGGACTCACTCCCAAAGAAGTCATCACAGGATCAAAGGACATGTTTCTAAACTGATACCCAAAAGACTGATCAACCCGGAGTCCCCCAAGTCAGAACTCTCATCCACACAGAGTATTAGCATTTATAACGTTTTGTTAGTTGAAGAGCCAACAGAGTAATTCACTGTGGCTTGTTCTTTTATGCCCTGCCCTGAAGGTGGGTCTGCCTATTGTGTGTTCATCTCTCATGGACTCTGTGTTCCCGGTCACCCATACTGAGTACATGGAGGAAATGGCCTTTCTGGAGCTCACATAGGACTTGCCTGCTACATAGGTCCTCCCTCAGGACTCTGGTAAGTCTCCACAGGGGCAGCATCTTCCTGTCATACCTGCCCCGTGATGTGTCTGCATTTGTAACTGAGTGTCAGGGCTGGTCCCTCCCCTCTCCCAGGGTGTGGATGGTTTTACTCCTAAGTCTGAGCGCAAGAAATAGGATGGATGGATGGGTGGGTAGCTGGTGGATGGGAGAAGGATGAATGGAGGGATGGATGATGGATGGGTGCATGGATGTATTGATTCATGGATGAACGGGTGCGTGGGTGGATGGACAGACAGATGTACGGAAGGACAGATGAAGGAACAGTGAAGGAGCCACAGTTGAAAGTGGAATGAAATCCTCCTCAGAGTCCCCCGAACAGGGGTTACCAGACTCACAGACTCCACAGTTGAAGATGGGCAGAATTCACCAGATTCTGAGAATGTGGACATTCTCAGGTGTCCACAGAGCTGGCAGTGACACAATTGCCCCTACTGCTGTCGGTTTTCTGACCTCGAGGCCCATCACTGTAGAACTGTCACTCACCAGGACCTGTCTATGTGGTGGCCCCACACAGTGATGGGCTGGTGCAGACATATAAGAACTCAGACATAAGAACTGGGGAGATGGCTCAGCCGGCGAGTCACCTGGACTCCCCATCCCGACTGCCAGCCACCCTAGCCAAACTGGTGAGTTCTCGGGTTCAACAAAAGGCCCTCTCTCAAAAAATAAAGTGGAGAGCCATTTAAAAAGACACCCATTATTGACCTTTGGCCTCCACACCCATGTACACCCCCCCATACACACACACTCACACCACGAGAGTGGGGGAGCATTTTGGTGTTTGTAGGGCATGTAGACCACAGGATAGCAGGGGTCTCAGCACCATGCCATCTGGTGTTCCTTGCTGAGGCTTTAGTGTGCTAGAATGATGGGCTGTACAACACTGCATTTTGCTTCCAAGGGAATATTTAATGGATTCTAGAGATATTTGACTTTTGGGGGCTGAAGTGGGGGAGGGGCATTGTGTTGGCAGCTGATGATGAAGAGCCAGAGATGCACAGGCACTCCTTCTCCCAGGAGGAGTACACACACCCACAGTGCCAAGATTGGGACTCATGCGTCAGAGAAGGGAAAGGAAATCCGCAAGGGTCAACATCAGGCTTCTGCTGTGCACTTAACGTGGCTCCCCAAACTCACAGAAGGAACTCATGCCTGTCTTTGCGATGGAACTGGGTGTCGGGGCCTTTGGAAGCTCTGTGGCTCTGAGAGTAAGGCTTTGTCCTGATGAGATCAGTGCCCCTACCCAAAAGGACAGGGACACTCTAGACCTCACTCTCTCCTCAGGAGGACACTGTGGGGAGCCCGTGGCCTGGAAGCCGTCCAGAAAGCTTCCCTCGGGAAGATAACCAGCACCTGGGCTGAACCTGTAGACTCCATACTGAGAAACAACTATATTCCCCCAAAGGCACCCATCTATAGCTTATGTTGTAGTAACCTAAGCTGGCATATTCAGAGGTAAATCCCTCTCAGCTAGGGAGCAGGAGACACGGAGGATGGAGGCAGAATGCTAAGGCCCCAAAGACACTGATTCTGAACCCTAGCAACTCTGCCACGCCATACTCAGAATATAATAGTAAAAGAGTGGGGCCCTGGGAATGGGGGTGAGGACTTGGGTAGCTGGAGTCCTCTCTTACCTCTGGACCAGCTGAAGTGACCATTCAGCCCCATTGAAGTCACACAACCTCACCTTTGCGAGGACTTTAAGGATTCTGCTCAACAGTGCACGCTCCACGAGCCTCCTCAGACTTGGTCCTTATCTCTTCTCCCATCCATGGCCTGACCTACTAGGGAAAGGCGGCGTCTATTAAATGAAGAAGGGAGTTCTCCAGAGTCTGGGACTAGCCACACTCATAGCAGGAACCGAGAACCTCTGCGGAGCTGTATCCTAGGATGCTAAGCCATCGTGGAACAAAACACTGCCCCCAAAATGACAGAGACGGGGAAGTCTGGTGACATGGGAGGCCACTCATGCGAGTACACTGTCAGAAACGCCGCTCAGATAAGGAGAGTGCCAGAGAGGGTCTCAACTACGAGCCTACAACACCCTGCCTACATTCTCAGAGCTTAGCACGTTGGGGACTGCTCCTACAGAGAGAGCTGGGCCACAGGAGCACCTCCCTTACACATCTGGCCATCTGAGAAGCGCAGGGACAGGGGTGAAAGTGCTATTCCTATGCTGCTTTGTCTAGAGAGACCCCATCAGGCACATGCCTCACTCAATGCTGGCTCCCCAGCTCCCAGCCAAACCTTCAGCCTACTCAACTTACATTTCTTGCATGTGTGGAAAGGTAAGTTAATCAGGAGCAGCATGCTTTTGGAAGGGCCTCCCATCTGGATGCTCGCGCAGTTAGAAATGACCGATGGTAAGCGATGTTCTCTCTCTCCGAGAGACACTCCCGGACAGAGGGGTAGGGATGGTTTGCAGACAGCTCGCCCAGTGACTTCTGCTCTTCTGTTGGTCCAGTTAGGCCACAGAGGACGCCTTCTCTCACAAGTGGCTCTCTGCAAGTGTGCACTGTGTCTTGGGAGGTATTTTCCCAGCACCATATGTCAGATCCAATTGTGAATTGGACCTGAAGGTATGGCAAGGATGCATTATCTAATTAATTAGCATTTAAAGACTCCCCAGAGAAGATACCACTGAGCAGGCAATACTCTCCTAGAATACATAGCAGGTTACCCTGTGAGCTGAGGAACTGGAACCATCTTTACGGTAGTATGCTCGCCAGAGCTTTGCATTTTGAGAACTTCATGAGCTGGTGCTGGATAGAGACTTATTTTCATCGGCACAAACCCAGTCTTTAAGATTCAATGCATTTGTTATGTATGAGAAGTTGTTGTACGAAAATGGACACACAGAGACAAACGGCTCAATAGTGAGGTCAGGAGAAAGATAGAGGCACTGTCATCAGAGCCCAGGACTGTCGTTTTTCTCACATGTCCTGCCCTGATGAACACTTTCTCATCAGAAAAAAAAAAAACCAAACAAGCAAAAAAAAAAAAAAAAAAAAAAAAAAAAAAAAAAACCCAGTGGGGCTAGAGCAATGGCTCCGTGGGTAAAGCATGAGGACCTGAGTTCAAATCCCTGGAATCTATATAAAAAGATGGGTAGTAGATGCCTGTGTTCCTACAGAGAGATGGATGTGGAGACAGGAGCAGTTCCAGGTCACAGGGCAACCAGCCTGGCACATTCGGCAGACCCTATCTCAAACAAGGTGGGGGATACGGCTCAGAGCTGGAGGTGTCTTCTGACCTCCACATGTGTGCTGTCCCGAATGGACACCCATAGCTGTGCACGCACGCACACACACACAGACAAACAGACACACACACACACACACACGTCTGTGCCCATGACAAGGCAGGCAGGGAAACATTCTTAGGAAGTAATAGTCTAAGAGTGACCGAGAAGTTTGCAGTTACCTACCAAGGAAGTCTACTTTGGATTCTAGACACGCTGCTTGGAGAGCGCCACCCGTGGTCGCTAAGGTATGAGAGCAAGGTTCTGATCCATGGTGTGAGAAATAAAGAAGAGAGCGGCTCAGGGCCCAGCCAGGCCTCCTCCTGCTCCCGTGTCCTAGTGGCTTCCAACTCTGAAAATGCCCACCATTGCTCTTGCCAACGCCCTCCTTTCCAGGAATGGTGCGGCGAGGCCTTTGCCCATCACCCATGGAAAGACTTACAGAAGACGCAGCTGGAGCAGCGACGGGAACGCCCGCAACATTTGGATGAATGTGAATGTATGTCACATGGTGACTGGTCGATGGGCTAGGGGAGAAACAGGAAGTTTGGGTCAGAGTTAGGGACTGAGACCCATGAGCAGCAGGCAGTGGGGAAACTGGCCAGTCAGCCTGTAGGTGCAAAGGAAAATGAACCTGTAGCTTTCTACTTTTGGGTAGATTCCTCAGTTTGGGGCAACTCTGAGTTGTGGAAGAGCTCTTGCTTGTGACTCTTAGGACTCTCTTCGCCACACCGAGGTGGGTTATTGCTCTGGGTAAGTTTCTTTTCTCTCTCTCTCTCCCTCCCTCCCTCTTTCCTCCCTTCCTCCCTTCTTTCTTTCTTTCTTTCTTTCTTTCTTTTTTTCTTTCTTTCTTCCTTTCCTTCTCTCTTTTTTTCTTTTTTCAATTTGATACAAGCTTGGTCATCAGGGAAAAGGGGACCTCAATAGCAAAACCACCATTAATCGCCTGTAGACAAGCAAACCTATGGGTATTTTCTCGATCAGTAATAGACGTGAGAGGTCCCAGGCCACTATGGATGGCGCCACCCCTGGACATGTGGTCCTAGGAGGTGTAAGAGAGGTAGTTGGATGTGAGCCTGGAAACACACCAGCAAGTAGAATTCTTGCATGGCCTCTGTATCTGCTGGGGTGTGGTGGTGGATGGTCTCCCCGCAGTACATAGCAATCCTGTTCTCCTGAGGAGCCTCCACAGCTGAGCTCTGCTTTGCTCTCTTAAGGGAATGTCCTAGCAGAACTACCCACTTCTTCTCCTGCCCAAGAAGCACATCGCTTCTTTTGCTAACATTCTACTTAAGGGGACGACCCTGCAGAAATGGAGCAATCTCCTCTGGCTACAGTTGTTCCTTTTTCTGTTCCACCTTGCTCAGATCCCCTTAGGGAGCATCCCAGCAAGGTTCTTCTGCACCAGCTAAAGAAGATCATCATCCAAGACACTTTTGAGAAAGATTTATTTAGGAAGGAGGAATCCAGGAGAGTGGCTGCCTCTGCCAGGGAGAGATAAATGGTGGCCTCTAACTGAACAGGCCAAGAGACTTACATAGGGCTTCTAAGAGGTGGAGTTTTCCCAGGGAGAAGAGTGATTGGCTAGTTTTCCCTGCTCAGGGATTGATTAGTTAGCTGGTCAGGAGCAGAGATGACTCTGATTTTATGACCAAACTGTTTCTTTCACTGGTCCTGGGTTCAGAGTCAGGGTGCCCAGGAATTAAGTTTTCTGACTCAGTTGTCCTTTTTACCCTACACAGTCACCTGACAGGATTTGGAGTTGGCTGATGCGGAGTTGGTCTTGACTGTCAGCTTGGTTAGATTTGGAAGGAGCTAACAGACACAACTGCACAGGTATGTGCAGGTATTTCCAGACCCTCCCTGGAGTGGATAGAACTTTCTGAAAGCTCAGCTATAGAGCAGGCCAAGGACAAAGCAGCCCTGCCTTCACCTCTCACTGACAAATGTGTCTGTCCTGTGCCCGAGACCACAGCTCCTTTGGGTCCAACATGGACTGCACACCAGGGCTGTCCAGAAGTCTCAGGCCTGTGAGGCCGTGGTAGAACACTCAGTTACCTAGCTTCATTGACTGAGCAGTTACTAGTCATGCAAATGGTGATTGCTGGATTATGCAGGGCCTATCAATAAACTGATTCGGTAGGTCCCCTTTGTGTGTGTGTGTGTGTGTGTGTGTGTGTGTGTGTGTGTGTGCGTGCGCGCATCCCAACATATATCCATCCCATTGGTTATTTTTTTTTAGAGAATGAAGACACTGGATCATGCCTCTCTTATGAGCAGAGAAAGTAGGGTTGCTCCTCTGGCTGCTGATTGAAGGGGAACAATTGTTTCCCTGGTTAAGAATGTCTGCTAGGCTGTTAGAGGCCCCTATCTTAGTCAGGGTTTCTATTGCTGTGAAGAGACACCAGGCCACAGCAACTCTTACAATGGAAGAAAAACATTTAATCGGGGTGGTTTAACATTTTTAGAGGTTTAGTCCCTTATTATCATGGCGTGACATGGTGGTCTATAGACAGACTTGGTGCTGGAGCTGAGAGTCCTAACTCTCGATAGGCAGGCAACAGGAAGTTGTCTGAGACACTGCCTGCAGCTTGAGTATATACGAGACCTCAGAACCCACCTCCACAGTGACACACTTCCTCCAGCAAGGCCACACCCACCACAACAAAGCCGCATCTCCTAAGAGTGCCACTCCTTTAGGGGGCCATTTTCCTTCAAACCATCACAGCCCCTAGACTTTATTAATCCCCCAGATCTTAGCACAAGTGATGCCATGATGGGAGTACTATTCAGTCCTTGGAACCTGACATACAGGCACCACCACCTGGAGAAATGAGAACAAAAACCTAATTCATCAAAGTCCACAGTTCTGGGAAAGTCTCTAAATGTACTGACCTTGCTTCTTGACTTCTATGGTGCTGGTTTTGGTGAACTGTTCTTGCTAACTGGGGTGTGTCAACCCAGGATGCAATTTTGTCTTTAAAAGCTCACCTTGAAAAACGAAAGGGACTACACTTGGGCTCCAAACACCCAGTATAGCCACCGGCCAGCCAATAAAGACTCTTCATTGGCCTGAACTGTGTCTGAGTGCTATTCTCTGGTGGACGCCTCACAACAAGGTAACAAACACGCCTTTGATGCTAGACAGAGACAGGACCCGACGCACCTGTCTGTCTCTGTTGCTGATACTAGCCTGGCATGGACGTGACTTCCTGCGGCTGAAAGCCAGAGCTGTGCCTGTTGCTATTAGCAACCTGAGCTAGGCCTCTTCTCTCCAGCCACAGACACACCTGCCCGGGTCCTGGTTGGCAGCGCTATAAACAGCCCATTTGCCTCCTTTGCGGAACATTATGCTCTCATTCCATTGGCTGTCGTATCATAAACAGAGCACAGAAAAGAATTCAGAATCTTACGAAAGAAGCTACCAGAAAAGAAAGTATCCCAGCAAGAACGTTCTCTGCAGGGGAAATGGTCTCATCAATGCTTGCTGTTTTCACCCTCACCCAGGACTGCTGTAGCTGTACACAGTGTTCTCAGAGAGAGATCAGATGTCATCAGCTGCATTCGTACCCATTTCCTTGTAGAAAATATAAATTAGAGTGAGCAGAAGGCACCCTGAACTTAGCAAGCCCCCATGAGATCTTGGCCAGAAAACCCTTCCATTAGTATTTGACTTAATTGTACCTGAAAACCCTCTCCCGAGCAGCACAATTGTCCTGGAGGAGATGGGTGTCGTGGGTAATTGTTACTTTCACCACAGATTTAATAATATTTTATAAATGTCAAATGAGCATCTTAGATTGAATTGGAAAATTAAATACTTGAGGTTGAAAATATAATTATTCGGGGAGACATGAGGCTGATGTGTGCTTTATTTTCTCAGCGTTTTAATAAGCAGTAAAATATGTGGGGATGGTGACTTGTTCTGTAGTCACAAAGAGAAGTGGAAGCCAAGAGAAGAGGAGAAATTGCCTCTGAAGTCTAAACTACAGAACTACACTGCTTGGGGACGGGGGGGGGGGGGGAAGCAGGGAGGTTCCTCCATAAATTCTGATGCAAATTCAACTGTCCACTTGATTGGCTCAAGAAACACCCAAAGCTCTGATATGAGCGGCACCATCCATGGGAGGATCCTAGACTGAACTTACTGGGAATTGAGAGCCCTTAAATGCAGGCTTGCTCTGAGCCTGCCCCTCATTCCTCTATGCTACGAGCAGATGCGGTGCACCAGTGGTCTGGAGCCTTCTGCCACCAGAGACTGTCTACCCTCAAACCATGAACCAATCAAACCCTTGCTACCTTAAATTCCTTAATCACAGGTGTGAGAAAAATGACCAGCAACACAGCGACCCCATTTCCACAGTGATGTTTGCAAGCACTAATTTTGTGTGTATGACCTTAAGATAGATTTAGCACGGCCTCTTTAAGAATTCTTTTAGTGAATTTATTTATTTTGTATATAAGGGAGGGGCAGACATGTGGATATTCTGTTGTGCATGTGGAGGTCAGATCACAGCTTCCAGGGTTCAATTCTCCCCTTCATGTGGCTCCAGGAATCGAGTTGAGATCATCAGGCTTGGCAGCAAGTGCCTTTACCTGGTGAGCCATCTCGCAGGCTTTCTTTGGGATCGCTTTTACAAGCTTAACCTGGAGTAGATGAAGTCATGGGATGGGCCAGGATCCAATGGCTGAGGTCTTTACAGAAAGGGAGGCATAGCCAGAACCACACAGGACAAAGTATAGCAGAGCATTGGCAGCAATGAAGAGGCTACTGGCCAAGGAGCAACTAGGATCGCTGGAGACCCTAGGAGCGAAAGAAAGTCCTGAAGCAAATACCCCCTGAAACTTTAAGAGTAAACAGGTTTCTGCTGACCTTTGCATCTCTGACTGCAGAATCTGCAGCTGTGAAATGAAACAAACCGCTGTGCTGGGCAGCTGCGTTGGAGCAGTTCTGACTGTCTGTCAGCCCCAGTACTAACAGGGCAATGACCAGGGTCCAACAGGATTCCAAGAACATTTTGGATTTACATGTCCAAAAAGGCTCATATGGTTAAAGCTTGTTCCCTAGTTTGTGACACTGTTGGGAGGTGGTGGACACTGTTGGGAGGTGGTGGACACTGCTGGGAGGTGGTGGACACTGTTGGGAGGTGGTGGACACTGTTGGGAGGTGGTGGACCCTGTGGAAGGTGGCAGTTGGTCAGAGGATGTCTTAGACAGGGTTTCTGTCGCTGCCAAGAGACACCATGACCACAGTAACTCATGTAACAAAAATGTATTAGAGTTGGTGGTCTTACAGTTCAGAGGTTCAGTCCATTATTATTTCTCACCCAGAGCCAGTCAGTATTCACTATTCACTAGGATCCTTCATGGATGTGTGATGAGTGGACAGAAATCTGGCTCACTACTCAAGGTTAAGCAAAGTGGCCCTCTGCCTTCCGTTCTTGGCTTTCATACTGCAGACACACATTGTCATTTACTCTGACCATTTCGTGCCGAACTCTTTGTGGTTTCTTTGGTGATTTTGTGGCTCAAGGTGGAACTTCCCCATAGGACATGGTAAACGAGAAGGCTGTGATGAGCCTCACTAGAAAGAAGTATGTGTCGATAAACCTGATTCGAGTACAAAGTGCGGTGGGTTCAATGTTAATGAAAGAATAGGACCAGATATAGTATCATTCAACAGAAACACACACAAGTCTACAGAGGGATGACTACAACTTTCTTTTCAATAAAAAAAAAAATTTAGCTAGAATATACTGACTGCTTTTTTCCCCTGAAGACAAAGTCTCATTTTACCCCCTTACTACCTTGGAATTCATTATAGATCCCAGGCTAGAACTGTCATGGTTTGTCCTGTTCCCTTAAGAGACAAGCCCCGCCCCTCCCCCTCCCCATCTGCTGAGGCAAGCAGATCTTCCACTTCCAGCTGGAGTTCCTCCCTTTCAGTCTCTCTCCCAAAGGCATAGCTGCTGCTCTGACTCATCTCCTTTCCCCCTCCTCTCTCTCTCTCTCTCTCTCTGCTCTTCCCTCTTCTCCCCTTCCCCTTTTCCCTTACCTCTCCATAACCCACTAAATAAATACCCACTTTCTCTGTGTGCCTATCCATCTGTCTCTCATCCACCGCAGCTGTGGCTTCTTGGGGACTAGCTGCCTTGCGGTGGTCTCTCACCAACCATGTGGCTCCAAATCCAGGATCCGCTGCCTGTCTTGGCCCCACGGCCACTTGGGGAACAGTGCCACTTTATTTTTTTTTACCATAACAAGAACTCATGACAATCCTCCTGCTTCAGTCTCACGAATGCCAAGATTATAGGCATGTCAAATTTATGAGCAGATAATAATCATTTTCCGTTGGTTCATCTCCCCATATTAAATTGATAAGGTCATGGAGAGCTTTATCTTTAAACACAAGCAAATAGTGATTAAAACACTGTATGTTTGTCCCCATTGAGAGACTCTGGAAAACCAGAGATGGGTGAAAAGAAATGAAGCCAAACGTTGTGAGTGGTAATACCGTCACCAGAAAGCTGAAAGCGTACGTGGGGGCAGGCAGCTCAGACGGGGCAGTGAGGGGGCTGTCACAAAAGTCAGACTCAAGGCCCACTCTGCACTGTCACATGTCCACATATTTTGTGTATTTTCACTGTTTTGCCTCATGCAAACATGGGCATCTTCTGCTACTACCACTGGTCACAGCGAGTCTCCAGAAAGCCAAGGACCATGTCCAAGTGCCCAGCAGGTCAGAAACCCAGGTGTTGACCTCTTTCTCATGACCCTTCGATGATAACTCCAGCACGGCCTTTTCAGACTATGTCAGTCATTTGGCCTGTTGTGACCAAATAGCTAACAAAGTCAGCGGAAGGGAGGGAAGTCTCCTTTGGCTTACAGTCTGAGGGCGAGTCCATCACCTCAGGGAAGGCCTGGTGTCCAGAGCAGGATGGCAGCTTGTCACATGTGTGCATGGCTTGGACACAGAGAGCCATGGCTGCTGGTGCCAGCGGGCTCACCACTCACCATCTCCCTTGTTATTCATTCTGGGACCCCAGCCTGTAGGACGGTGTGACACACATTCAGGGCAAGTCTTCTGCCCTCAATCAAACCTCTCTAGCTGCGCCCTCACATATACACCTAGAAGTGTGTTTCCATGGTGGTCTAAAGATGAGTGCTCACGGGTTACACCTGGGTAGAGACGGTCAGGGCAGCTTCACTCAGTCTCCCCAACTTGAGACCAGCGGAGTACTGTTGTTGCAGAAGGGAATACTCACACTGCAGGAAGGAAGGCCTCCAGATGCAGAGCCTTGGGGTGTTTGAAATTGGGTCTGCAGTGGACTCAATTCCTGTTTGGGGGTCATTGTCATCCTTAACAGAGTTCTCATAGCTTCCTGCCCGGTGGCGCATCTGTGTGGGAGGCTGGATGACTTGAGCAGCCATGTTCAGTACTAAATGTGGGCTGGGACCAGGCTGAAGTCAGGAGAAGAATGCAGCCTTTGTTTCGCTCTTCTCTTTGTGAATGGAAAGTCAGGCTCTGCCCTGCGGGAAGGAGCTGGATAGGAGCTCCTCTGCACCGAATGCCAGACACCTGACCCTCCCCTCCCCTCCCCCCTCCCTGCCTGGTAGCCCTGATACAGACCCCTGTGCCCCAAGCAACAGGATACTCTGAGAGAAAGGTTGCCTGGCCTGGGTTCAATCTGGTGCTGCTGGAAATGGCAGGCCATCGCAGGGACTTCAAGGCAACCATGCGAGGTGTCAGGAGCCATGGGCGTTTTTGTGAGATAAAGACAAAGGAGTTGGGACAGTCACTAGCTGCAAGGACCCAGTAGTGGGCTAATCCCTGATGCAGTACAAGGAAAGACGAGGGGAAATAATGCAGGGGAGAAGATGAGAGCCCTTACACAGGCCCTGGCCAGTGTCAGCTTGGGGTCACTAAGTTCTTGAGGACCACATTAGTCTAGGCTTCGGTCAGCACAGGACCCAGCTCCCTTCCTTTCTCTTGCTTATTTCAGCCGTTCATCCTTCTCCCATAAGATACACTAATACCATTGTAAGGGCAGATCAGATCCAACATCACCAGATACCCATGAGTGCAGCTAGCAGAAGGCTTGTGAGCCCCTAAACAAGGTCTCAGAGTACAGAAAACATGATCCCCCAAACATCTTTTCAACCTTTGTCAAACAGAGAAGGGAAAGATGAGAGGCGGTGAACGTTGTCACGTGAAAAGCCCAGAGTACCCCAGAGACGGGCCTGCTGGGGCAAACCACAGATGGTAACAGCATTGCTCTCCTGGAAATTGTACCGGGCCAACGGTTCATTAAACGCTGTGT